CCACCGCCGTTCTATCGTCCTCTCAGGTACACATGCTCACTCAAGACTATCAAAGTGTGTTAAAACGCTTGTCTCACTGTCTGTCATTTATTAGAGCTCATGATGAAGCGGTCTATTATCTCATATTTTAGCAAAAACGCCTCAACGTCTAAAGACAGTATCTCAGGCGAAGGAGAGAAGGCAGATCTAGACAAAGAACAAGAAAAGGAGCAGGCGAGTGAAGGGCAAACTCCTGCAGCTAAAAAGAAATGTGTTAAATTCCATACAGAATGGCTGCGAGAATTTGAGTGGCTACAAAAAAAGAGAGTAATGAAATGTATTGGGTATACTATGTTGTACACAGTGTGGAACTAGCGCAGAGAACACAAAATTTGCAAAAGGGTGTTCAAACTTCAAACATGAATCTATAAAGCTCCACACTGAGAGCATAAAACATAGACTTTGCAGAGATGGCTTTAAGCGACAAGAGGCTGCGAGTCGAGCCTCCGAGGTGACTGAACTTTTGGCAAAGTTTAACACGGCTTATCATATTGCAAAAAGCGAGATGCCCTTCACAAAGTTTAGGTCCGAGATAATTCTTCAAAAGAAAAACGGAATTTCCATCAATCTCAATTCATCGGTGTCATTGCAGAAACAATGAAAAGCAAGAGCGCATGAACTTGCCTCAGCCCCATTTATATAGTTCATGATTGATGGAGACCCAGATGTGTCTATTTTGAAAACCAGTTAACATCCTGATCGGGCACGTTGAGGTTCAGCATGCCAATGCTCAAGGTGAGTGCTCAAGAAATCTAAACTAACTGTAAAGATAATGGAATTTACAGTTCAATATCAGAGATTAAATCGGGGCTGTCTGCTATGTAGCGTTATATTAAATGTTTTTTTTAATATACAGTATATTAAAAAAATGTATTATTGTAAAAATCACTTTTTTATTTTGTACAATAAATTGATAGTTTTAACCTTTAATAATAATACAAGCTAACAGGGTTCCCTGCATAGTTTACAGCATTAAGAGATATTTATTTCCTTTAGAAAAATTACTTTACCTGATATTTATCCAAATTAATATTTATTGAATTGAGATTGTAATCAGAACTCAAGCTTATGAACCAAATCATGAAAATATTTTCCTAATAAAAACACAAAGAAATTATTCAATTACCAAAGGTTTTCAGCCCTGTTAAATAATGAAAATAATTTATTTACTTGATGATGT